ATACTACACATAGATATTTTCATACTAGAGGGTAAAAAATACCTCAGTTGTATAGATAAATTTTCCAAGTATGCCAAACTATTCCCAATAGAGTCGAAATCAGCGCTACACTTGCGCGAAGTATTGATCAAGGCTTTACATTACTTCACTGCGCAAAAGACAATGGTATCCGATAATAAGCGAGGTGTACTCTGCCCGACGGCTTTGAATTTTCTCAAAGCTTTGGGTATTGAGGTCTACCACGCACCTTCACAAAAGAGTGAAGTGAACGGCCAAGTTGAGAGGTTTCATTCCACATTCCTGGAAATATACCGTTGTCTCAGGCAGGAATATCCGACCTGCACGGTCGGTGAACTTGTCGTGATTTCGGACGATAGATACAATAATTCTATTCACTCTGTTACACTGAGGAAACCCACGGATATCTTCTTCAACCGTGGTACGACTTTAGATTTGGAAAAGATGTTAGAAGTAAAACAAAAGGAGCATGAGGATATTCGAGGTTTGTTACAGCGTAAGCAACAAATCTCGAATGATAACAAAAATAGGAATAGGACAATACCGGTTACTTATCAACCAGGACAAGAGGTGTTCATAAAGAATAGACATATTAAAAGTAAAGACAAGAAGCGATTCAGTAAGGAAATAGTCGAACACGACAAAAAGGTCAAAATAAAGACGAGATCAGGCAATTAAATTACACGTGAAAAAGTGAAGATGCGGGTTTCATAGCAAAAAAGTTTTCCACATGTCTTAAGTTTGATAAATGATACTTCCTTTGCTATGCCAAGCGAAAGACTTCGTGTCCTTATCTGTATCATCACGCTCACACGAAAACACACAAAAATTAATAAAAATTACACTATGTTAGTTTTTTCAATCCCATATAGACTTAAGTAAAAATTGTTAGTATTAAGAAGAAAATTGTATTACTAACACCCATTAACATCCCATTAACTTAATTAATATACCTAATATCAACGTGATCTGTTCACGTCTTCAAATATGGCGGACCACTAGCGACGTTGAGACAGGGCAGCGGATGGAGAGTGGTTGGACACTTAAACCTGATCCACATAGTAATACTGGATGAAATTGTAGCGACCACTGAGGCGACAAGAAATGAAGGACGAGAACGTCCGAGTCTTGACGTTCTATTACCCAGAATCACACGCCGCCCAACGCCTGCAATAATCACCGGTCACACGGAACCCCGTGCTGCACAGGCAAGAGACATCACTCCGGTCGACCAGAAGGCCGTCTGATCTGCGGGACGCAGATACTTAAGGGGGGAGGAGTTAACACCAGTCAATGCGACGTCGACGTCGACCTGGACCACGAAAAGGCATAGAAGCCGCCGCCAGACGAAGGGCAGTCGGTGGCTGGCAGCTGAAATCGACGACGATACTTTTAATAACAACAAATACTAACAATTCATTGCGATATTATAACGATTTAAATCGAATTATTCGAAGATTGTTCTTCTTTTGGTTTATCCGAATCTGGAAAACTAAATCACGATAAGTATAACCCTTGGACGTGGCCGCCACTAGAGTAACAAGGCGTCCCGATCGTTAACTTACATATATGTGTGCGCGGGTGCATGCGTGCGTATATATGTATATACGTGACAAATCGTTCAAGCGTAAGAGCAAGTGAAATCAAAAATGGACTTAGTGATTATAACATGGATATACATGTATTTGCCAAAGCACAAGTCTCTAGTATTTAAAATACGCTTTTTATAAAAGTGAGGGTAAGGGGGTGAATTTTAGTAAAAACCGAAATTGTATAAATTGCATATAAGCATACATTAAAAATTTGGAGACTAGCAATAAAGGTGTAGAAGATATAATTATACTCATTCACGAAAGTGAATCAGTATATTGGTTTTGTGCAATGTCCGTCTTGCTGTCCGTCCGTCTGTCCG